TTTTGATACTACTAAAATAAACTTCGGACCGAAAACGAAAAATCACTGGAATAAATCTAGGTACTTCCTGGGACCGTACTTCGATCATGGATAACGTCCATCGAAAACTTTGACATTAAAATGTACTTCAAACTTAACAACAAGAAAATATCACAACACAGAGCAAATAAAACTAATTACAATAATCGGAATAAACTTAGGCAGTTTTTGGAACAGTACTTTGGTCATCACTTGGAGCTGGACGTTTACGCTTTGGAAGGTTGAGGTGCGCACTAAATTGGGAAGGATCACTTCCTGGCATGTTCCTGTTCGTCCGCCGGCTTGCATCACCCGATGCCTAATTATATCAATATAATGACAATAAAAGGAACACCAGCGATCTTGTAATTATTAAAAAAAAAAAAAAAATTTTAACAACATAGACTCGAAGATTATCGGTTAAAAGTATTTGAAATTGAAATTTGGCAGCAGCGATCATTCCAGAAATATCTCATGAATAATGATACATTTCACTAAATTTCACCATATAATTATGAAGGAAATTCAGAAACAGGATATATTCCGTGTTATGGAAGATAAGAACTGCAAAAGAAAGCACTAAGGCTGTAACAAAATTATACCTGTTCAGTTATAATTCGGCTTTCGGATTTTCGCTTCAATCGTTCAATTTCATGCTGCAATGTGACGTTTTCTTGTTCCAGTGTACGATTCTGCGTTAAAATTCTTTCCAATTCAGCTTTTTGTGAAGTGATTAGATCGATTGACTTCTTTAAAACAACAGCCCGTGAAGCCTGTATGATTAACTTTCGATAAGCATATTTTATTAATCATATCGATGATAAATATTATTAAAATAAAATACTGTACAATAAATCGAGTGCAAAATATATATCAACAGATCGTTATCTAGTGCATATCGACATAACGTGTTATCTTCAGGTGCAAACTTCAAAATGATTATTTCTTGAACTTTTTGGATGACTTAAAAATTCTTCATAGTTATATAATAAGCGATAAAACTACAAATGTTTTTTAAGAAATACAGATAAAAAAGGAAACAAATAAAAATATACTCTTTCATTCCGCATGCCAGGAATAGTATCCTTTAAAGCACCATACATATCCTTGATATTATCACGACGACGTCTTTCTAAAGCATTATGCTGTGCACGAGCATGCCGTTTACTATCACTTGCACGTGCTGAACTTGTTGCACTATCATCCTAAATTGATTTACATGAGTTATATTTAAATACTACAAGAACCAATTATTCCAGATCTTATCAGATAAAATATCAAATTTAGGAACATCAGTGAAACTTATGAAGTTAAACAGTATTATGCTACATAAAATTACGACAAAATTTAATATATTTTAAAGTTTTTTCTCACTTTAAAATTTGTAATAACAATAAATGAAATGAGTATAATGTAATTCTTGATTAATGTAAGAGAAGAAGCAAGAATTATGGATTTTACCTCCGCTTCACTAAAATCGCCATCACTCATACTTTCGAAATGTAATCAAACGATCAATCGACAATTCCAAATTATCCTGAAATAGTTGCATGAATACCTTACAGAAACTATTAACTGAAAAATAAGTTTAATGTTTTGATCTGAAGTAATGGTTCGATATATTTTCATCGGTCAATCCAATCCGCTAAAAACAGAAATTGTGATCTACTCTATACTACTTTGCCAGTCTGCATAAAGTCTAACTAATGAAGATTGATTAAGGTATGTCAAACATTCAGAATGCACAAAATGAAGAAGTTTAACAAAAACAATTAGTAAAGTCTTATCAAACTATAGCAAAACATCTAAAGAGCTATCCAATAAAGACCTAATTAATAAAAGCCAAAATTACGCAGCAAAGGTTTAAATAGATATAAAAGTGAATTCGCAAGTAACAGTGGACGAGATGAAGCATTGAAAAGAAGAAAACAAAATTTCAGAGAGGAGGAAAAAGAAACAGTATTGACCACCCTTTCAAAATAAAAAATTAAATTATGCATTTTGGGACGAGAATTTTCACTTCAACCTATGCATTAAGCATGGAAATGTTTTTTTTTTTTTCTTAAAAACTTTTTTCAAAATTTAAAAGTGATTGTGATAGATGCAATGTAAGGACGCAGTTAAGTATCTTAACCTTGTTTCACATTTCTTATGATCATTATTTATAGCCTAAGCATACTTGAAAAATCGTAATTAGTTTTACTGTGTGATGTATGAGATTTTTGGATGTTGATATCATGCCCTTAGAGAATACAGGTTTCATTATAACAAGGCATATGTGATAATTCTTAGTGGTATCGGAATCTTTTTAATTTATATATTTATTTTATTTCACATTTCACATATTACGTATTATTAATTTATATGTGAACAGCCTTTTTTAATTTTAAGTGTTTTCACATATAAGTAATTTCATTTATTGTGTTTGTTCTTGTATGGCTATCTCATATTTTTTTCTAGAAATGGTATATACCAAGGTGAATTCGCTAGATGAGGCAAATTATGATACACTTCAGTGGCTTCCAGAAAATGCTCCTTATGTTGAAGTTGATCCGGAAAAAATAAAAATAATTGAAACTCCGACGGAATTTTATGACAAATTACTGGTTTGATGCTTGATTTTTTTGTATTTCGTTTTATTTAAAATCTCTTTAAATTATAGCTTCCGGATTTTGTCTGAAATTTAAAGTCATATATATATATAAAAGTCGAGCTTTGAAAGTTAATTTGAGGAACTGAGAATGAAAATCATTTTGTATGGATTTATTCGCTAGGTATATCTTGTCGTTTTTTAGTGTTTAATTCGAGAAGCTAAGGAAAGGATCGTGATCTCAACTTTATACTTGGGCTGTGGCAGCTATGAAGAGGCTCTGGTATGCATGCACTTGCTATATTTTTCTCACAATTATTGAGGAATAATGACTATACAAAAGGATTAAGCTTCATTTCATATTTGATTGTGTTGTATTTTTGGCATTTTTAAGAGGGTTGAAATCTATGCAAAAACATCTAGCAGTTGAGATTTATGCGAAAACTGGTTTAACAACTTAAAAGACTTTGTGAAAATTTATTGATGTTTCTGTGAGATGACGATAAGGCATTAAAATATTTACAAGAGAACAGTAATAAAATATGTGTTCATAAAAAAAATTTTTTTCCTCAGTTTTATAGGTGGACGAATTGGAAAAAGCATTAGATATGAATCCAAATATAAAAATGAGTATCCTTATGGATTACCTCAGGGGTACGCGTGGGGGAGCAAAAAGCAGTTCAGTCGTGTTGTTAAAAAGGTAGGGACGCATTCTAATATTCAATTATAGCGAGGAAAACAGACTCTTTACATAACCAGAATGATAGAAAATTTTTCGACATCCTCAGTATTGCTATATATTGTTTCAGATATTCTGAAACATTCTGCAATTATTAGATAAAGCAATGAAATATTGAATTAATGAATATCTAATCTTTTCTTCTTTTGATATTCATTATATTACTAAGCAGAAGACATTTCTATGTTTCATAATATTAGCAGTAAACTTGATTTTTTCCATCACCTTGTTGTTCAATGGTTGTATTAACACAGCCCTTTCTTTAACGAAATTTTAAAAGGCTGATGCCGCTTGCGTCAGTGTATTTATTCCATACGCCATGTTTACGCGGTCTCAAGAAAATGATATTGCCTGAAAGAGTGAATGAAGTGATCGGCTTGCAACACATGAAACTTTTGCTGTTCGACAATCACGTTATCTTTACCGGGTAATTTTCCGCATGACTAGCAAAAATGTTTTGCTCTAGAATCTGAGAACAATCAAAAAAATTCAATCAAGAAGAAAATAGCATGCTTTCAAAAGTTGAAGAAATCGCTTTTTGTGACGCTTATCAACATGGAAATTATCATATTAATCAGGTTTCAATATCCTTCCTGACTAATGTGAAAACGGAATAATAGTTGGCTTAAAGTTTATAAGAAAGTGGAAAACTTTGGAGGGTAATAGTTGGATTATACCGAAAGTTATAGCAAGATATTTGAAAGCTTTATCTTTTTTTAAAAATCTCTATTATGCTGTTCTTCAATACTTTTGGCAATTTTCAATCATTTATACAAAAGATGAACAGGGAGAGGAATGTTGATATTATCAAAACTAAATGATATATGTTGATTTTCAGCGCTAATCTTTCGCACATCTATTTTACAAATCGGCGGGATAGATACATACTTATCGAGAATTGTCCACAGCTCGCAGATTTTGTTGATTCGTTGGTTGAGGCTGTTGGATCATGTTCGTTCATGTTGAATGTGCGAGGAATAACCAGTCTGGCTGAAAAATGCGATGTTCATCCTTTTAAAGGTTTCATTTTGGTTAATTATAGTATTATTAGCAATCATATCAAAATAGAGCTCTACCTTTTCATAGCAAGACAGTAACATTGCTTTCTATGCCATTGATGGAATATACGTTTTTCGATTTATTCCGTTAGAAAGTTGAATTACTCATTGAAATTTGACTTTTTTACTACTATAGTATAATAGATTAAACTATTTTCCTACTGCGTATATTAGTCAAGTCCTATTTTCAGTCTTTTCAGTCTTAACACATCTTCTATGTCAGGAAATGATTTTCTTCTAAAAATTTTTGTTGCAGTAATTAGTTGTTAACTTCGTTATTTTTCTAACATGTATTGCTTTCATATTTGTTCCCAAATCTTTTTCATTCAGGGAGTTTTGAAGCATACAAGAGCATGCTACACAGCCGAGTTATGTCAGCGCTAAATGCATTCAGCAAACAATCTGATTCAAGAAGCACTTTCACTACTGGTACACGAATATATCCATTGTTACAAATGGGCATCGTATCGATCAATCAGGAATTCGAGTTTTTAAAAAATTTACTATCTCTGCAGGTTCTTAAATTTGATTTTTAACAGGTCTAATATAGAAAAAGAGTTTGTCTACTTCCGATTTTTTATCAAGCCTGTGTTTAAAGTGCATAGTATGATTTGTTAGGATTTCGAATGTTTTGCAGTTCTGTAGTTTTTCAGAATCCTCAGTTATCGTTAACAGTATCATCAGGCTATTTCAATTTTACTGATTGTTACATTGATCTGGTAGCAAAGCAGAACTCTTTCGAAATGGATATCGTTTATGCATCACCTCAAGTTAGAAATTATTTGACTAATTTTGTTGTCATTTTCTTCATTTCATTTCTCTTTGTATATATGTATTTTAAATCTAGGCAAACGGGTTCTATCAAGCGTCTGGTTTGTTTGGCTTCATACCGTTGATGTATGTTTATATCTCACATCTTTTCTATAAAATGATTGGTCCGAACATTCGACTGTTTGAATACAATAGACCAGGATGGTCCTATCACGCAAAAGGCCTGTGGATTGATTCGAAACAATCATCCCTTTTGGCTACTATGATTGGCTCGTCGAATTTCGGTATGTTTTCAGTTTCATAAGTTATGAAATCTGATTAATTTTTGACAGCGAGTTTGGCAGTTCGTGTAGTATTGTAAAGATAATGTCCGAAACATTCAGTTAATGCGTGCATTGCAATATAGTGGCAGTTTTTTTCTCTGCTGTCGCTATTTCTCGGAATATGTCTTATATTTTCACATCCATTTTGAGCTGTGCGAAAGATTTCCTGATAAATCATTATAGTAAAATAGATTTTTTAAAAGATTGTTTGATATATGAAGTTGCTTCGAACTTGATGCTTTTATTTCGCTTTTTGATAAATCTTTAAAAAACCGTCAACTATAGTTTTGGCAGGCTTTAGAAAATCCTTGTGAAAAGTTCCAAGGCGCGAATATTTCCATGTAAATTTTGCAGGACATCGCTCTGTACATCGCGATCTCGAGGCGCAGTTCCTTATAATTACCTGTGATGAAAAATTGAAAGTAAAGTTACAAGAGGTAGGTCCTATTTGTAGTACTGATCAGAAGACGATAAAAGCGGGTTTTATGTTATTGACTAGGTAGTTCAAAACATTGACAGAGTTCTCCTCAGATGGTAAGCCAGCAATTCTGAATAAAATGTTTTAAGGAACGTTCACGAATACAATAAAATGTTTTAAGGAACGTTCACGAATACTGGACTATGCAATAAAAGTAGGCACTGCAACTTTTTTACGACGTGATCATTTTGTCCCGTTCTGGATTCGTTTAATTTCCCGATTTATTCGAAATTATTTCTGATGCCTTATATTGGTGTCCGGTTTATTTCTTGTCAGCTTATGTTTCCTTCTTTTAAACGGTTAATAAGCTCAATGTCAATAACAAAAAATCAGTGATTGTATTGTTTATTAAAAGTGTATTGTTTGTTAGGATGATTTATCCCTTATTTGTTGAATGTAACTTTTAATAGTCTTGCATTTGTTTTTACTCGAATCGTTTATTGTAAATGTATAAACGTTCTGTCATCTAATGCTTTCTTATCCCAATGATAATAATAGTCTACGACTTCATGTTAGTACTTTGTTTTTTAGAAGGAGAATTTTTTTACCAATTGTCAGATATTCCATGCTATTCTGGCACTGATTAGATTAAAAACAAAAGGGCGGAACGAAAGGCGAAGAAAGTTGATATATTCTACATAGGAGCCCACTTAATGAAGCTAGCCTGTAGATGTTTAATATCAATAAATTATTTTTTCCCTCCTCTTAATTGATAATATATTTTTCGTTTCTGCAGTTTGGTCTTTCATTTACGATTTTCCTCAACTTTTACATATGAATTCATTGTATGTTACTTTTAACAATATTGGTAGAGCTAGTGGAGATGACTACGATAAGCAACTTTTAATGGAGACATTTAGAAAATTTTATGAATGCTTTAAAAAAATCTGAAGGATCTTGATGGTGTCGTACTTGTATGTGTCTGTATAGGGAGAAAGAAATATACGCAAAAGTAGATTAACCAATATAACTGAATATGTTTACATAAAACGTATGATATTGACGAAGTGAACTTGTGTAAGGTAGTAGTTATAGGTTAAATTGTAATTTTCAGATATGGTGCTGTTACAAGGCTTAGTGTTTGGTCGTGCTTTAATGGAATCGCTACGAAAGGGTACAGCTCCAGCAGCAACTGCTGTACGTTCCTCTCATCGAAACCGAACGCAACGTAAAAATGGATTGTATCGTGGATTCAAACGTGCGACAAATCCTTATGAAAGTAAAGAATTACTACAAAGATTAGAGAGATGTTCAGTTCGCCATTTGTCATCAGGAATGACGACCGCTTCATCATCGAAATCATTGAAAGAGCTTCTCAAGGATGAAGTTTGGTAAGTGAATTTTCATTCTCTATCTTTTATGCTTGTGAAAGATTCGCTGCGAGTTTGATTTTTTCCATCATTTTAACCTTTTTTGGAAACAATGTTGTTATTTTAAGTTGTATTAACTGTAGTGATGGAATCAAAGTGATCTGTTAGGTATTTAAGAAAAGATGCTGCTTTTCCAGTCATGCAGCCCACTGATTTAAAGGTGTCATTATATTTATCTGTGATGAAAGTATAATGTTAGCGTTGATTTCTAAAAGCTATGTCATTCGAAGAGAGTGCTTCTTTACGGATCATAATCCTTATGGTTGATTTTTGAGAAATTTTGACTGCTTTTTTTATCTTTTCTAAATCACTTGTTTGACACAATTATGTGTTTTTTTCTTAAGGAAACAATTTTCAATGAAACGTAACGAGGATGAATTTTTTATTTCTGTTTCTGAACTGGATATTAAAAGTGGGATTACAAGACTCCTTAGATGTTTCATTTTAAGGATTCCAGTTTATCGTTTTCGTGGGATCCATTATTCTGTTTTGGCAGCGAAAATTAAACTAGCATTAACAGTATCAAGTGTTGCTTTGATCCCATATAAATACTGGCAATATCTTGACGATGCAGTATCCCTCAGTCATCTTATGTCCATTTCGGCTTTCGCCTCCTTCACAACTTTAGCATTTATCTTCTTTTGCAGGTAATTGTAACTATTATATTTAAACTAAATTAGAGTAAATCCTGTGCGATACTATGTTAGAAAATCTGTTAAAGGAAATTAGTTGGTCCTGGGGAATATGTTTAAAGCGTTACAGTTTATGTTTTTTTCTTCGAGCTATTATTTCTCCGAAATTGTTATACTTTCATTAATTTTGCAAATTTCGTGATAGTGGAATTTTCAGATTTTTTAATGGTCTAATAGGTGTGATTTCAATGAACGAAACCAATGAATATATACGGATTGGATATTTGTCATTTTGGGGAAATAGATGTAATAAATATATGAAATTAGATGATATAATACCGCTTAATGAATCAAGCACGGGCATCAATAGTAAAATTGTGCGGCTTCGACAATATTCATCGTATGTGAATTTCACTTCGAAATTAAGATTGCATATTGTGTTAAATATTTCACTTAAATCTAAGAGATTTAGAATTTTAAGATTCCAAAATCCAGCATCGGAATTATTTATTTCGTCGATATCATGATTTTACTGCTTTTGGACTGTATCAAAACGAGTTGAACAGCACTTTTTGCTGAATTGTAATTAACTAGAGGTAAAAGATATAATATCTTCTCAAACTCTTTATTCAGAGGTCTCAGTTATATCTTGGTTTAATTTGTATGTTATAGAAATTTTCATTCTCATTGTTACCTTTTGTAGGAATGAAACGCTGAATTTAGCATTATTTAATACGGAACTGTTGGATGAGGAACGAGCCGCTATCCTGTTCGGTGATATCACTGTCTTTTTCTCTTCAATTAATAAAGCGAAATAAGCGACTTGGAAATTTGATTATACGTAGTCAGTATACTATTTAAAATTGTTGTTGATAATTGATTACAAATTTTAGAAATGTTTGCTTTCTGTTAAATTGGTTTTAAAAGTTTTTTTTAATCATCTGAACATAGATAGGACATAGACTTTTGGAAATGTCCCATCTTACAGCAATAACGTACACACTTCTTGGAATTGTTTCAGACTTATTCAATGGGCTACATATCGAGCATTTTTTCCTGCACAGTATAATCTATCAATGCGGGATAGCTTTGTAACTATCGATCTTTTATTACGAGAATTTGAAATTTTTCAATATTTAACTAATAGTAAGAAGGCTGCAACTAGCAATGTGAACGAATTTATACAATTTTTGCAATCGTTTATTGTAATAAGATTTCGAGGCATAAACAGTATGTTTTTCAGTGCAAAAAGATTATCGATGCAAGATCATGGCTTGGTAGTTTCCCTGAAACTTTACATCAAACTCTGACTCATTTAAAAGGAAAAACTGAAATGAAAATACAATCCTTTTTTTCTGATAATCTTGGAAGGAGTTAGGTAAAGAATCATAGAAGAATTCGTTGATCACCGTTAAAATTACCAGTGGGAAAATGATTTCTATATGAAGGTATCTCGCAATATGATAAGCTAATTGGCATATTGTAAGGATTCATCGTACAATCAGCATGCACAAAATCACCTGAAATTTACAAGAACGAAAACCACTATTTAAAACCTTTAGTGTAACCAACTGTTCCAAATGTTGAGAATGTTTATTTTACTAAAAGAAATATAAATCATTTTAATATACTAAAGTCATTAAAAGTTTATGTTTTAATGATATTCCTCTTTCCCACAGAAGTGTTGTTCCCTTGTTTTAAATATCTTAACAAAATATCACTTACTTGAAGTTTGATCAATTGCTTGAGAAAATCTTTCATTATTTAACCAACTGCATTCATTTGCTGATTCTGATCTCACTTCTTCTGATGACATTGATGAGTATGGAAAGAATTGAGGAGAAGTAGCATTCATTGTTAAAACTTTTGATGCTAGAAGTTTTTTCAGAATTAATTATCGAATTTAACTTTCATTTTCATTTATTCACCACGCTAACATCCAACATAAACTAATTTAAACCATTACTGTGTTGAGGTTTTTCAAGTATTCTTTTCAGAAGAAAGAAAGTTATAATCAACAGAAATAAAGTTAGAATCAAAACAGCAACATTAATTTTAGCTTTAATCAACTTGTTGCCAACAATAATTGCAAATAAATGATATTGTTTGTTTGAATTATTTGAAATATATTTGCCAATAAACATCTCTAATTATTGTAATACAGTTTATGGTCATATTAAATAGGCTGTAAAATTGAAAAGTTGCGAAGTAGTTCGATATATGCATAATTAATTTGCGTAAACAAAAAACAACAATATCAATTTTAGCTTCGACGATGCCTTTTCAATAGCTACTTAAAAATATCCCAATTGAAGATTTCATTTTTTAATTAGTAAAAATCAATAAAATGATGTTCGAGCAGAATATGCTGATTCTTTTTTTCTTTCTATTATTAAGTAATAAAAAAAAATGATTCACTTACAGGATGGTAAGCACCACGAATCATTGGTTGGAGGGATGTATTTATTTCTGAGAATCCTAGAAATGGAGCTCACTGATGGTAAATTATGCTTATGGCATACTTTATCGTGCAGTAGTTGTTCTCGAATTTCCCAAGCAAAAATTCGAGGATTACGAAGTTTCAAAAGACATATATATTCAACTACCTGAAATATAATGCATACATATTCATAAATAATTGTAGCAAATTTAACGAATTTAAAATGTGCAGTAACAATTTAAATATCAGAAAAAAAAAATCTTCGGAATATTGAAAAACAGCTTTAAAACACAGAAATTGTTACTTTTTTAAAAAGAGAAAGTAAAATTTTGAAGCAAAATAACATTGTGCTATTCAGGAAATCTTTTCTTCCTTTTTTTTTTTAAAGCTAATTTTTGATTGAATTTATCGATTTGCACATTGGCAATTTTCTCTTTTAAAAGAGAGAATTGAGAGAAAAAATAAAACGAAGAAAGGAACGTTTAACATACCGCAGGAGTTGTAACACGTGGTTTACTACCACCTACAGTACCAGGCATTATTGTACCGTATTCCGCATAACGTGACAAGATTTTGCTAATACAACCGTGTGAAATTTTTAATCGTCGTGAAATATCACACGGTCGAAAACCACGTTTTGTTAATTCAATAATTTTGTAACGTAACCGAAGTGGAAGTGGACGTCCATTTACGAATGCACCACCAAGTCGATTAACTTCAATGTTAGATATTCCTAAAAAAAAAAGTTTACCTGATCTTTTAAAAACCTTTCTCTTAACAGTTGTAGAAACAATTAATTAAATTTATCGTTGAATAATTAAAAATTAATTAATTAATCTGTTGAGAAAATTTTTGCCAATGTTTGACATATAAGAAGTGTACGAATGTGAATTAATTATTCACCAAAAAATAGTGTAAATAATTCATCTTTTACTTATCATTATTTTTTGTTCCAGATATGAAAGGATTATCGTGATAATGCATGTAACTTGAGTAATAATTAAATCTTAACAAATTTACACCCTGTTCAATTTTCTTAATTTTATAACATTCTCATTATTTATTGTCCAAAGCTACCTCAAATGTCAACCTTTTCAAAAGAATTAACTATAACAAAATGCAAAAATAATATGATTTATTTTATCTTTTGTTTTCTTCCCATTCAAACTTCATGTAATTTTGAAAATTTTGATTGTTTTTAAATTTTGAGAATTTCAGTTTGAAAACTTTAATTTTAAATTTAAAAAAATTACATTCACTTACCTGATGTTTTTGAAGTGATAGATGAAGATTCCGTTGGAAATAATTCATCTGTTTTTTCATCACTACCATAATCTGGCATCATTTTTCGTCCTGAATTGAATTCATTTCCTCGATCACATCAGGTTGTTTTTTGTTGATGGTAGTAATCCCGCCCATCGGTAGCTTATTATCGTCCCTGTTCGGTGACTGAGGGACACTCTCAGAGAGTCCCTCAGTTTTTATCCTTTGGCAAATAAAATAGTACAATGATTGGTGGTGGTTCTGTTTGAATATGAGCAATTTTGTTAGCCTTTTGTTGATCTTTGCTGCACCAAAAACAAATAACGTTTTTCGTTCATTCATAATGAAATGAAACAAAACAAATTTCAAAAAAAAAATGATAATAATTTTTGTTAAAAATTTTTCAGAATTAAAGTAACAAAATATAATTAAAAAAATTTTTTTTATTAATATTATTATATGTGATGATAAAAGGATTTTAAAGTGTTTTTTTGTTATTAATTCGATCAACGAATACATTTAGAAAAACGGCTTTCTTCTATCTCAAATATTTAAATCTTGAACAATTCAGAAATTTAAAAATTATTATCTAATATTAAAACTATTTGAAATAACATAAGGGATTTGATTATAGCGAATAATATTTTAGCATATTACGATTTTTTTTTTTTGCTTTTTCGATTGCGTTGTTATCTAAGAGCAAAAAATAAAACAAAAAAAGGTTTACAAATTTTTTTCTCGTTGTATATTCTGATAAAAGCAATGATAATATTGGAAAACATAAATTTGATTAATTTTTAATAGTTTAGAAATTTTTTAAAATTTTAAAAAGATTAATAGCACAAGTATTATTAATATATGCAAACAGTTTTCTTTTTCTTTTTTGTGTGTAAAGATTTTATACATTCGGATAAATAACCATGATAACATTGGATAACATGATTAATTTTGAATAATTTAAAAATTTTTTAAATTTTCAAAAGATTAATAGCATAAATATTATTGATATGTGCAAACAGTTTTCTTTTTCTTTACTGTATATAAAGATTTCAAATAAGAAATATTTAACAAATTATTGGTTACAGTAATAAGTTATATTGCATTGAAACTTGATGACAAAGTGATAGTAGAAGGATTAAGCGGAAGGGTCATCGGTAAAGAAGGATGAGAAGGTTGACCAACAATCGTTCTCTTTGAACAATCCCATCTTCCCATAACCAAAGACTTTGTGGAGAAATAAACTGCAACGAAATACTTATAAAGCGGAGAAGCGCATTTAAAGTTTAATAATGTATGAGAAAAAATGCTTTGCGTTTCATAGTTTCATTTTTAAATTTACTGCTTTCTTTTTAAATTTGGTTTTTTTTTTAATTTTATTTTAATTTTGCATTCATTGTTTTATTTTCGGACTGATCTCTTTTTTTTTTGAATTTACTAATTTATTACTGAATTTTATTATTTCATTTCTAGCTTGTTATTTTATTTTTAAAGCAACTATTTGTGATTTTTTTTTGTTTGCATTCATTTATGTTTTTTATTTACTTTACACTTAAATTGTTTTAATTTCTCTGATTTCACTTTAATATGTAACATTTTGCAAATTATACAGTACTTACTTTCATACAGTACACTATCATCTTATCAAAATTTTTTAAGGGGGTGTATTTTAAATATTATTGTACCAGAGAAAGCTGGAAATTTTTAATGAAATTAACATGAATAATTGATAATTTAACAACTTTAGCAAATGAAACCAAGGTTAAGATTAAATTAAAATTTTAGCTATTTATTTCAACTTTTGATATTTTAATTCCAATAAAGAAAACATAAAAAACGGTAGTTTTGAATGACGTGAAAATGTACAAATGAGTATATTTACTAAAAGTTTAGAAATATTTTCCTCTTTCTTCTTTTTTCCCCTTCGCTTTCCCGCGGAAAATTCTATAACATATTTTTGTATTAGATATATTTACTTTATCAGCACATAAAATTATGAAATTCATAATTCGTCAAAATAAATGTAAAATAACTTACATTTATTTTTTGCAAAATATACAATAAATATTTAACAAAAATTGGTTTTAGTGATTTGTGTAAAATTTCATTAAATTGAATGCCACTGAAATATTCTCAAAGTAAATTCAATACATTTGTCCTTCTTTTAGTTTGTCACTGCCTTTTTTTCGCGTAAGTTTTGTAATTAAATGTATGTTTACCTAATGAATATTAGTAATATATAAAAAAGATTAGTATTGCATAGGTTATATTCAATTACAGAAGCATTCCGATTATACTTCAATCCAATATCATTTTTGTTAATCGGTTTTTCTCGTTTCCGATTTCATCAAAAGGAAAACAAAAACCGATTTAACAAAATAGAAAAATCCGTTAATTCTTCCCCGTCCCAATATTATAATGAAAAGAATTGTTATAATGTAGAAAATATCTTTTAATTGTATTAATTATAAGAAAAAGTAGTTTTAGGTTCATTCAGAAAATAGAAAATATCATCTTTTACTATTCATTCCAGTTAATTGTAATTGATTGTAAATTAAAATAAAAATTAACATTTTAATATATTATCACAAATTCTTAAATGCATCAAAATTAGAAACATGCATTGATTTTAAATAAGCTTGAAAATAGGATACACGAGCGATAACGTATATGTATATTGAAGAATAAAGAAAAATATCAAAATAATACTCAGCATAATTACAACGACATCGTTATCATAATTAATAAATTTTATGCAAAACAAAAGCTTAAAATTAACACAGA